TTATATTTAAATAGCTGTTTTGTGCGTAAACATTCTACAATATGCCAGATATGTACTGCTGAAAATGATTTGCAACTAAAGGAATTAAATATCTGAAGTTTATGTTTTTATTAATATACGTGAATGCACGTGGTTCGGTAAAAACACGTAAATCCGCTGGCAACACGGCTGCAGCGCTCGATTTTTCTCTGTGTTGATTTCGTTCCCGTAATGGCCGAATGATGTGCTTCGCTGCTTTCGTCACCGAGCCGCTTCAAAACGTCCTTTCGCAAAGGCACGTTTGGGCGTCGCACGCGAAAGGTCTTGATGAATGTCTACTTTCAAATTGGGCCGGAGACTCAGGCCGCGTCGTACCACGAATGCTTTGTAAACAAGAAAAGCGTCCGGGCCACTACAATTCACTGATACGCGGCAAAATCGAGGCACCCCTTTACCTGCCGATCACATTGAACGCCGAGAAGCTGGTGGAAAGGACTGCGCCTCGAGCCCTGGTATATCCAGACAGTACAAGGAAACATCAACGGCCGGCTCATCGGGCACCTTGCAATCCGTACCTACATCTCGAAACTATGCCGAAATACCGAACAGGTGCAAAGCTCAGACACAGACGTCAGCAGCCAGCCTATGTACTGACATCAGTGGCGTACCAACTTGTTTTTGAGTGGGGGGGCAAACCAGACCCTCTCCCCCCCCCCCCCCCCAAATCGAAAATTCGGCGCAACTTTTGTCCAACTTTTCTAAAGATTTGGCAATGATTCGGCAAAATTACAACGTTACCAGACTTAACATTAATATTTTGTTTTTTCTCACGAAAAAAATTTTGCTTCTTCTTCTTAAAATAAATACAACTTGTAGTGCCTATTGAAAGAGTTATGACTAAATAAGGTGATATTCTAGAAGATAATTGTATCGATGTCGCTTTTGTGTGTTTACTTGTAATATTGGTGTATGCTTCCAGAAAGTGGCGTGACAACGAGGTTGGGTAGTAGCCGGCACAGTCACGAATCACACTACGAGAGCTTTGATTTTGAGGCTTCATCAGCGCACGCCTGCAAGTGTGTTTACATTGTTAAAATAAAGGCAATCACTGCGTTCTTACTTTCTCTGGTAGTCGCCGTTTCGTGCGCGAAAACGGATGCAACGGTTCCTGAGCCTTCACCAGAAGAGATAACAATATTGTAAATATGCATGTTTTTCGATTTGAGTCACTTGACGTCAGCTTTGCATGAAAGTGCGCGTTCCATATTCGCAACGTGCCGTTTTTAACCTTTAAAATTCCGGTTTCTGGTGTTCGGACACACACGGACGTTTAGGAAGATGGGGAGAGTTAGGAATGGTCGGATGTGCAACGTCGACCATGATAGTTCTGTGTTTAACGAATATTTTTCATCAGTGTTTACTAACGAGTGCTTGGACTCCGTCCCCACTCTCCCTGAAGAGCTTTACGAGCGCATGCATCCTATTAACGTTAACTCCGCCGGTATTATAACATTGATTGATAAACTAAAACTTACTTCGTCCGCTGGAACCGATAACATCAACTCTAAAATTTAAAAGAAACACCAGTGTTATTTCGAGTGAGTATTTAAAACTTATCTTTATTCAGTCCTTATCTCAAAGGTGCCTTCCATCTGACCAAAAGGTGGGAAGGGTAATTCCCAGTCTTTAAACAGGGCAGCCGCTCTTCCGCATCTAATTATCGCCCTAATTCATTGACTTCAATTTCTTGCAAACTACTTGAGCATATCCTCTACTCCAATATCATGAGGCACCTATCATCCCATTTCTTTTCTTTAAACAGCAGCACGGTTTTCAAAAAGGTACACTCTCCGGCAATATGAAAGACCCACTGGGAGCGCGTGGCCGAGGCGGTGGCTGGCGGGGGCGCTGCGAGCCCTCCGGGCAATTCCATTCTGCTTCGAGGGGAGGACGCTCACTCGGGCTCAGATAAAGCGAAACGCGCTTATCAGTTTGTGCCGAGTGCCGAATGAGCGTCCTCCCCTCGAAGCAGAATGGAACTGCCCGGAGCGCTCGCATCGCCCCCACCAGCCACCGCCTCGGCCACGCGCTCTCAGTGGGTCTTTCATATCGCCGGAGACTGTACTTTCCTGCGAAACACAACTCTGCGACTTCATCCATGACTTGCACACTAACCTTGAACCTTGAACCTTGAAATGAAAAAACTGACGCAGTTTTTTTTTTTTTTTTTTTCCAAAGCGTTCGGCCGTGTTTTTTATCAACGCCTTCTTTCTAAGCTATCATCTTTTTGCCTCGACCAAATAACCGTTTGCATAGATTCGTGACTTTCTTTTTTCCCGTGTACAGGTCACGTCCATGATGATCATGAATCTTCCTTAATAAATGTATCTCCTGGTGTTCCCCTGGGGTTCGTACTTGGGCCCTTACTCTTTTTAATATTTATTAATGACATCCCCATTGGGATTTCTTCAGAAAACCGCTTTTTCGCCGACGACTGCGTCATCCATAACAAAGTAACTTGTGTGCAAAATAATAACCAGCTTCAGGAAGATCTAGAGAAAATTAACAATTGGTGCAAAGAGTGGATTATGTCATTAGACAAGTATAAACGCAAACTAATCCACTTCACCAAGAAAAAAAACAAACACTGTCATTTAATTACTTCTTGTACTCCGATCTGATTGAGACCGCTACTGTGTATAAATACCTTGGTGTAAGACTGACATCTGACCTTCCCTAAAATAACCACATTGAAGTCATTACTGCCGATTCATCTGGAACTCTTGGACTAAGCAGACGTAACTGAAAAAGGGCTCCACCCTTTGTTCTTAAGCTAACCTTGGACACGTACGTCAAACCAAAAATAGAATATGCTTCAACCATCTGGAATACCCATCGACTGTACCTCATCAATACCCTGTAGAGGCAGTTCAGAACAGAGCTGCTCGCTTCATTTCATCCACTTATGACTTTTTTTTTCAGTGTCTCAGCGCTAAAAACTGAACTAACCATGTCCTCTCTGCAGCTTCGCAGAAAAGTCTCTCAGCTGTGCTTTATTCAACAAATCTACTACCACATTCCCGACCTCAAAACCACTTTGTTATTACCCCCCGACCGAACATCTTCTCGCCTCAACAACGTCTGCACCATCAAGCACATTTCTGACTCTACTAACGCTTTCAATTGGTCATTCCTTTCTCAAGCCATCAGCCACTGGAACAGTCCCCCATCCTCCATTGTCACCATCTTGGACCCTGCTGATTTCTCCTCTGCAGTAAAACTACACCTTTCTTGGCCCATGTGATGGTGTGCGGGGCTAGGCAGATAGGTGAAAACCCTTACGCAGAGCGCCTGCCGGGCCAGACTTGTACGTAGTTCAACTACTTTACTCAAGTTACTGTAGTTTAACTACTTTTCTGGGTAGTTTAGTAACTTTTAATTACATTTATATTCTAGTAATTCGTAGTTTACTTTAACTACTTTTCCGAGTGACTTCCACTCAAATTACAAATTACTTTCTAATTTTAGTGGTTGTTTTGCCTATCAACACAGAAAAGATGTCGGAAGGTCAGCTGATATTTGCAGAGGGGGAAGCATGCGGAGTAGAAAAGGGGGGGATGGGAAGGAAGAAAGTGATTTAGATAGTCCAAAAAACCCCAAAATTTTAACGAGCCCCCCCACTGCAACAACACTGCTACGAGGCGCGGGGAGCGAACAGACACGACGCAAGAGAGGTCGAGTAACTGTGGGATTAGCTCCGAATAGTGGCGTTTCTTTGTATTCCGAAGCTCAAGCAGACTTGACGCATTTGAAGAAAGGGCTTGTCCCCGCTTCTCTCCAATGTAGGAATTCTTGCCCACTACAGGAGGTGCACACACTGCTCCTTTTACGGTGCAGGCGATAGAACCCCTAACAACGACGCTCACGCCGGATGGGCTGCTCGTGTATCACTCGAAGCGCGTTAACCCACCCCCGCGCCTGCGTTCACGCCGCTTCGCGGTGACGGTGTGCGGCTGCTAATTACAAATCTATTAACCCACCTAGCCCCCCCACCCCCCGTACACGCCGCTTCGCGGCGTCCGGTCGGCAACCCAAGCCCCGCTGCCCCCCATGCACTTCCGTAAATAGAGTCGATACGATTTAGTTTAGCGATGTTTCGTCAACAACATTCGTTTTTTTAGTGTTAATGGTAAAAAAGAAATGTAAATATCGCCAAATGCCTCGACAAAACAAAATGTTCGAGAAAAAAAATAAAAAGAAGTAAGCCGGCCCACACCATAAATAGAACCCGGGTCTGACACGTATGAGGCAGACATCTCACCACTAAGTTACGCTACTTCTTCGGAAACTCGCATTGCATCCGCTGCCTATGTTGACGGCGGCAGCGCCTATCTCCAAGCAAGCAAGCAAAACTTTATTTTGTGTAAGGGCCTACGTCCTGGTCTGGACGGCCCGTCCGGCCCATGTCTCGCGGATGGATTCCGTTAGGTTACCGTGTAGCCTTGTTCGTGGGGCAAGGCTCCACAAACCAGCCAATCCGGCGTGCGTGAGCACCGTTGCTAGGGTTTGTATCGCCTGCGCGTTAAAAATATGCCCGCGCGGGTCGGAAGGCAGTGCCCTTGGTATTCCTTGGGCGCCGCCGGCCTGTGTCTGCTCTGCCCAGTGGCGGCCGTTTCAGGGGGGGCAAAACGCATGCCTTGCCCCCCCACTCTGAGAACTGGGGGGGCAAGTGCCCCCCTTGCCCCCCCGGTTGGTACGCCCATGACTGACATCCCCTATGACTAAATTTCCGAAGGGCGCTTTTTTACTCCTGTAGCAGACGATACCGTTGATACACCCGTAGCAGACGAAATACTCGGCGAGCGCGGGCGGCGCGGACGACCAGTGGCGCAGCGGAGTGATACAAAAGTGCAGGCGAGATCGCGTGTGTGATTGGCTCCGGCCACACGTAGCTTTGGCTGTGCTCGGACGGAAGCTGAAGCGAAGTATAGTAGTTTGACAGCGGCTTTAGAGGGACTCACCTGGTCCCACTTGTAGTAGCGCAGTAGGGACATGACGGACTTGGACACCTTGGACAGGGGAGGAAGTGTCCGGGCGAAGGTACGGAACGACGGGCCGGACACCCTCAGGTCCGAGCAGCGCTGTTTGGGGAAAAAAAAAAAGTGTTATAAAGATTACTGGCATACAAGATAAGAGCGTAGGGCAAAGCCTGGTACAGATTTTTTTTTTTTTTTTTTTTTAAATATTGTTGATGGTCGTTTTACTATTCAAGCAGAAGTGGATCACATCAAGTTTCGAACACCTGATTCAAAACTGTCAATGCTCAGAGCATCCCCGCATTCTGGGGGCAGTAGATTGTATTCGTTGATCGATTGCACAAAAAAATAATAAAAGAGCATTTAGAGGGATTATTTTTAGGAGCACACGGTCCGACATTTTTTGAGTGGTTCAGTCGTGTTGACCCCTGGCGATGTGGTGACATGTACAGATCATTGTTTAATCGAGATTCTACATTGAACATTGTATAAAAGAATCTTAGCTTTGCAACCTCCCGTCTACTCTCAAGCGATTCGAAAGCCCATTTACGCATTAAGTTGGATAGTAAAGAGAGCCGCCCAAAATATGAGAAAAAAAATATTACATCTCGAAAGCTGTGTCGAACATTGTTTATTATGAGTATAACAGCCTTTTACGACGATGTGAAGAGGAGAATGTCGGGGCTCGTCGAAATGCAACGCCGTCCTCTCAAGAAACACTGTGAAGAGTGTGCTACTGAGATTACAAAAATTGAGGACTTCCTGTGTGCAAGCCTGCCATACCATTTGGTTCTAACGTTTCTGCTAGTACTTATAATGTTCAGGCCTGTGTGCTGAAGTGCATTTCCCCGTTTTTGTTTCATTAAAAATAAAACGACATCACTTTAAACAAGAAAGAGGGTTCTGTGTTGGAGAAACGTGTCAAGGCTGTTATCTCCCACTACAAACTAACTTGCACAGTAAATACTTTTTTTTTTTCTCCACCCCTACGGACCATTTTTTTCTGTACTTGGAACTTGGGACCATTCTTTCCGGGACCATTTTTTCTGAGGCCTTTTCTATCCGTGCTATTTTTTTTCATACTCCCCTCGGATACACAACTACAGCGTGGAGGGGGAAATTATTCGTTCCCGATCCCGTGGGAACAAGTCAGGCTTAAAATAGTTCCTGCGCAAGAACTTGGTTGAGTGGCGACGTCCAGTCGGGGCGAGTGTTGCAAGCTCGCTATTATGAGACCCTCCGGTTGCCCGCCTTTCGTTACTAATTGCGGATTGAAAGGGGCGAGCGTGAACTACCCGTTATTATAAAGTTATTAGGATAATCCAATTAGTGTCGTCGAGACACGTATCGTTGGGAGATCGAAACGCGATCCGAACTTGCGACAAAATGCCCTATCACAAGAAAACCCCAACAAATCTTGCATCCCGATTTGGTCGTCCCTGGCAGAGTCTTTGTACGTAGAACGCGCTATAGGGTCGTGTAACATGGTGTCATCACGTGATCACGGCGCTTGACCTGATTTCGCAACCTCATTGGCTGCCGAGCAATAATAAGATGTTCGGAACTTGTCACACCCTACGTCCAAATAACAGTTTAAGAAAGGGTTCCTTTTTATTGCCTTTCTTTAAGAGGGGAAATTCTAATTATGCGAGCGAACCCGGATATCACTTCTTTGTGCATGCGCGATCATATCAAAAAAGAAACGTATTAAAAAAAACAACGTTAAACGAGAAACTAAACTGCTAATCGCATATTCACAACGGCACAAAAACAGAAAGCTGCATATGCAGAAAAACACTCCGCTGAAGAAAAAAAAAAAAAAATACGCACACATACATATGCCATTACGCGCTGTGATTGAGTATGCACTTAAACGTAGCGCATGATTCTCAACCACCTGTATAAAGTGCCGTGTATATATAAAAAGGCTCGACAAAGTATATGTGCACTCGCACGAGATGTGCCCACGCCAGCTTGATTGTAACACATACCACTTCGCGCCCGTCTTCAAAGAGTCGTGCACTAAAGCGTGGACGGAGATACGTAGGAGGGCATACACTGTCCTAAGCGCCCGCAGTATTCCCGCGTACTCAAATGCACGCACACAAACACACTCAGGCTGGAAGACAAAGAAACCAAAAACCATATATGGCGGCACTATAAGGGTAGACGGCGCGTGTTTCCTATAACAGACCCTTTTCAAAATTCAATGCCAACTGATGGCTCAAAAAGCAGTTTCCCTTTCGACAAAATAACGGCGGTCATGACAATTTTTCACGGGCACCGCCACTTTCGCAACAACAGATGAGAATTGGTCGGCAGTTCACCTCATAATTATTTCTTAATTTGCTTCAGGCTCGATGGTGTGAACATCAGGACAAAGCGAGGATTCATTAAGCCTCAAAAGGCTTTGCCAAGCTCGTACCAAGGGGTTGGTTGGGTCACCCTCCGATCTAAACGCTTACGCAGCCATTCTGCCTAATTCGTTCGTCGTGCTAGAGTGACGTCTCGAACATTGAGCTATAAGTAGGGTTCGGAGTTTTCGGTTTAAACCGATAAAAACCGATAAAAGTACGCCGAATTCATTTTTGGAAATTCGGTTTTAACCGAAAAAGGTCAGTTTGTGGGTTCAGCGTTTTAGGTTTAAACCGATAAAAGTACGTCTAATCCGTTTTCTAAAATTCGGTTATAACCAAAAAAGGTTAGTTTCTTAGGGCCGCGTCGAGGTGGGTGGGGGAGAGGGGAGGCGAGAGAGGGCTTTGCAAGGTTCAACATTGTGCGACGTCTTCGTAGTTGCCCTCTTCCAAGGTTCAACATGCAACAGAAGAGGTCTTAGATTGGATTTCGCGGGACATCTGTGTCCTTTCTGTGATCGGGCTTAGTTTGTCAAGTCCCTGTTCTTAAAAAAAGTTCGGGTGTCGTGCACTTCAGAAGACATCGAGAAAAGCCATTGATACCTTCTCAAACTTCCCTGTGGTTAAAAACATAAATACAATAGATTTTGTTTTGCCATTTCACTGGTTCTGTACGGTCATCACCTCAGACGGTCACGCCGTCAGAATGGGATGGAAAAAGAAGCGTGCTGAAGATTATGCCCGCGAATTTCGCGATTTTGAGGTGTGTCCTGGCGGAAGTTGTTGCGAAGACGACGCATATATATCTGCCGTTATTCTTTGAGTGATCATCTGATCCCGTGTCCGATGGTGTTTCTTTCATGTTCACCGAAAAAAACCGGTAAAAGGTTTTGAGAATGAATATACACAGAAAAAAACCGGAAATCGAATTTTAAAATAAACACCGAAAAAAGTACGCCGAATTTTGAAAAAATAAAAACCGAAAACGCGGAACCCTAGCTATAAGTAATCCTATGCTTGGTAGTATCCTGAGTTTCTCCCCTCATCAACCACAACTTAGGCCGCCGTTAGTTTGGCACAGGTGCCATACACTGAAATTATGATAGTTATCAAAGTTACCAAGCTGAATTACTACCTATTTATCCCTGACGGTCGTTCCAAACAGACAGATATTTCTATGTCATCGTTATTCGAGGCTTTTTTTTTAATTTTTTTCATCAAGCTTTATATAAACATTGTTCCAAAACACTTTATGGTCAGCGTTATAATCGACATTGTGGACATTTGGAAGATCCTTTTTATGAACGTAAACAAAAATATGATACAAAATAAGAATACATTTAAGAACAGATTTGGTTGTTATGTAATACTGAATGAAGTCCTTACTAAAGGGCGGCGTGGCCTCGTCAGGCACTTCAAAGTGCCTTTAGCCATGTCCCCCGAGACATTCTGTAAGTTCTGTCTCAAATAAACTTATACAAACTATGAAAATGCAATTTATGCAACCGTGCAAGCGAGCTGTACAAAGAAAACAATACAAGTATTTTATGCCCGTGAAAAGAACTTTAATACCCCTGTTACGCGGGCACCCTTAGCCGCGGCTAATTCAGCATAAACTGCTGTTACGCGGCACCACAGTTAACGGACCATACTCTCGGACAGCTATTTCAGAAGAGGCAAAGAGAGCGCGGGCACCGCTTTCATGGGTGCTCAAGATGCTCGAGCGCAAGTTCGCCCATAGCTTTGACGGCATAACCGCAGAATGTGGCCCGCACGTATATTGTGCGCTAACTGTGGCTTTTCGTAACTGCAGTTAAGAGTGCCCGTGTAACAAGGGTATTAGCGGAGGCACCCCGGTGCAGAGTAGCTATTCCGAATATCATTTTTTTTTTAAAAGGTTTCATAAATAAAAACTGAAAACAATTTTATTTTCCAGCTTCTTCTTAAGCTTAGAAAGAAAAAGTTTCAGCCTTTCCACTCTGGTGAGAAGGAAGACCAGCGGAGCTGTACAATGGAAAGTAATGGCCTGCGGCAAGTCGGCAAGCCATGGATGGATGGATGGATGAATCCGGCTGAGCCCTTTGGATAGGGCGGTAGCTTACGCCACCTAGCCATTTTGTTTTACCATTTAAGTTTAGAATATTTAAATGTGAAAGCTATATTCACTCCGCACTGAAAAGAAAGTGAGGCTATAAAACCCCCTTGCCATCAGTTAATAGGAAAAGACCTAGCTTTCTCTCGCTTCCTGCCACCATTCACTTAATCTTTGCAGAGGGGAAAAGCTGCCGCCATCTATGAGCGACGGCGGCAACTAGATACGTGGCTTTCCGCCCTCGGTCATAGATGGCGGTAGGTGTCCAGAATATGGCGTCTTCATTTCTTTGCGGGGGACACGATCCTGGGAAAAACAATCCTTAACAACTCCGCTGTAAAAAAAAAAAATAGAAACGCCGTTTGCTTTGTGAATTGTTGTACAGTCACGTTAACTAATTGTTACAAACCTTTTGGCAATTATCGTAGCCTCGTGAAAAAAAAGTACCGAGAATCACCCTTCCAAGCATTTCTTCTATACTGAGGAAGTGCTGAGGAAGCCTCAACACTTCCGTCTACGACGTATATGACTGCAAGCGTTGCGTGCAGTCATAGACGTATTTCTGCACGCTCAAAAACTTTACACCGTAAAAGGTGTAGAAACGCAGTCCCAGAGACTTATATACACCAATGCTACATCTTTTCAGCACCCTTAATTAG